AGGTATGATTATAATGTGGTTGAAAAATTATCGAAATTTAATTATGTTATTTATATTTATCGACTGAATTGTTTGTCTCGCCAAACGCGCGTATGAGCGAATTGCTGGAATAATATCATTATTTAAATATTATTATCTATCTTTAAGTATGATTATTTAAATATGATGATTATGTCTGATATGATAAAGAAATACAAGCAATCTTAATAAATTAAACAACATTTATTTTTGAGCTCTATCATACAAGACGGGTCCGATACTCATATTTTGGTAACGATTGAACTACACTAGATTAATTTCCATCCTAAAGAATTTTATCTTCATTTAATTTTTAGTGTATTTTTAAAAATTTAGCATAATAAGAAGAATTAAGGCACTGGATTGCCAAACTACTAATAATATAAGTGATAATTACAGACTAATCTGATACTGGTTTACTTACGTATAGCTTTTTGCAGCGTAGTCGTGATATAACACTATATAAATTAAATATATCGCCATATACGATTTGTTCTATAATAGGACTACGTAACAATGTAACATTAAGGTTAATCGGGAGTGTAAGGTGTATTTATTTGTTCTTTATAAGGCTTCTTATCTCCTTTCGTCATCAAACTAAAACTTTCTAAAAGCCCTTCAAGTAGGCCGTTAGTTTAGAATATGGTAAAATATATTGTGGATTATAATTTAAAGCAATTAACGGTAGAATATTAGACATATTATACCTTGTTTCTTTTTGTTTAATCACAATATTTAAGGCCATATAAAAAACTTCTTTTGTTTTGTATAAAGTCGTGATAATAGTTTTTACAAAGATCGAGAAAAGTTCCTACCTATGTAGGTTGTTTTACTTTTTATGAACAAAGGAGCAAAGTTTCCTTGGTACCTCCATATTCTTAATAACACTGTCATATTTAATCATTATTATAAACATTACATAAACGACTCTTTGTATACTAGTTTTCGATCTAAATTATATCAAGTAATCTAACCTTAATGTGTTTAAAAGCACCACAATAGTATTTCGCAAGTTCCAAATAATACTTTTAAATACGACAATGATCGAATCAGTAACCTCGATATAAGATTTGCTCACCTGTCACGGCTATCCTTACGAGAAACACTGGTTTCTATTTGTAAACAACTTGATTGTATGGAAATATAAAATACGTGCACATCTGGTAACGTTCAACGCAAGACTGGTTACTGGTTAGTGGTAAGTGGTTACTGGTGGCCCACGTTTCTAAGCAAATGCATTCGCTTTTTGAGTGCGATTTTGGTGGTCGGCATATGGTATATTATGTTACGACTGATATTTTTATTAAACATTTTTTACAAAAAGTTTAGCCTTCTAGCTGCACTCATAGCTAGGTTTTGAAGAGAAAGTTTCAAGGCGATCAGACCACAAGATTTACAAAAAGGCTTTTATTTTTGCTTGATTCACGTTTCAAGGCTCAATCAAAAAGCTAACCAGTCAGAAAGAGTAATGTATCAAAATCTCCGCAAATCCGATCGTATGATGAATAATTCAAACTGTGAAAGCAGTCGTTATATAAGCAATAACCACTATTGCAGAAACTGGATAAAAGTTCAATGAAGCTAGTTTTGTCCCTGATATTATATGATAGCCGTATTCGTATATAATTAAGCACCGTTAGTATAAAATAAAATTTGCTAATTTCAATAAGGTCGCAACCTCTAGACCTGGTTTTTTCATTTAATGGAGATAAAAAAAACGTCAGAAACAGTTATACTGTATAAACTAAAAATATACGAAGAAGGTAGATCTATTTCATTTAAATTTCCATAAGTGGGACATTAGGAATTGAATTAAACAAGTTACTACTACCCTTGGTACCGGCTTAAAACTGTGTTACGGTACAAAGGTATCCAACCACCAAAAATTAGTTAAACAATACTTAGTAAAAAAAAGCTAAGGTTGGTACTTTTAAACATTTTTACAATTCAGTTTTGTCTTAGATATGTTTATTAAAATTATAAGATCGAGGTGTTATGAGTTTGATATAATAAAGTACATTGTTTTTACCACCTCCGTTATTTCTCACGGCCAAAACATCTGCCGAAACTGGATAGACCGGAAACTTTAAGGCTATATAGTTTCTTGAACCACACATCCTTCGGTTTTTATTAAACATATGTGCTTATATTTGAACAAATGCCGTAATTTGAGAAAGTAATATATTGATAATTTAGTTGATATATCCATATATTGTAGAACTTGTGGCGCAAACCCGTTATACATATAAAACGTGATGTTTACCGTCTTTTAGGTTTAAAAAAACAGGTATTAATTTTTAAATCCTAATACATACATCTTAATAGATATTTCAAAAACGTCGGAAGAAAAAAAACACGTGTATACATACGTAAACGCGTTAGTTAAAGGTATTTAATAATTAAAGTTTATTATAACGCATTATCTAGTTAAATAAACTTTATTTAAATATCACAAAAAATATTTCTACTTTATTAAAGAAATGGATTTTTTTTAATTTTAAAATGTTGACTATGCTAACTTTAGGGTGTCGGTTTTTTGTGTCGGTGTGCGCGCTCATTGTAGAAATTTACGCTCATAATTTTTCCCTAACGCGCCAAAAGAAGTATAACTTCAAAACCTGACATTATAAAAAACGATAAGCAATTGATTATTTTTTTAATAGTCACGAAAAAAGAAAGAAATTACTGTTTCTTAAGATCCGTTTTAAACACAGTTTAATTCAAATACATAATGGAACTAACGGGGTCTGATTTGGACCACAGATAAAATATTAAAGTACGTAGTAGATTCGTAATATTACTTATAATTGACTGCGCATTGTGATAAAATAACGCTATTTGAATCTTATATCTTCTATCTTATAGCGGTAAATATCGTTTGGCTATGACGGTAAAAAATAAATCAAATGTTTGGCAAAATTTTACATCAACTGTAATAAACTTTTCATGTCAATGACAATTTGTTAATTTAAATTTGCCTTAAGGAAAATTATGTATGTGATTAACCTTCCATGTCCTGCCTTCTTTATAATGGGCATTTCATAAGGTACAAGAATTTATATATATTTTAGTTGCAATTTTCATATTTTATATCCTATAAAACTGGAAGAGGTTGGATAACAGATTAAAATGGATAGAAGCTATTAGGTATATTTTATGAGTAATACAAATATCCAACACAACATTTTCTTCAGATCGCGTTTCCATCTCGTATTACGAGGACATTACATTGAAGTGTGTGGCTTTATGAAACACTCATTATTATTAATCGCATTTGCCTCTGTTTCTTTGAAATCGATGTCTAAGATAAAACTTATCGGCATTTAATGATAATTAAAAATTCTGTAGTAATGCATAGGTACTATTTTATTATGCCGACAAAATTCTTTAATTTCGCAAACAAGGGTGCGCAGTACAATAAAACGCTGGCGGTAACAAGCTCATACTGGGTGGCGCAAAAGTACTGGCACTAAAGAAAATTTGTTTATTTTTTTATATGACATTTCCTGTCATTCTGTTGTTGAAAATTGTGTAGTAAACAAATGTAAAATACACTAAAAATAAACATGGACCGTTTTACTCCCCAAGAACGTGGAATAATCGTGTCAATGTTCTTACGGAATAATTCATCAGTGATAAAAACACAACGTGAATTTCGTCGACGATTTCCCCACCGTTCTTGGTCTGGGTCTCCCAGACTTACGTCTATCCAATGTTGAGCCATTAAGTAAAACGGTCCATGTTTATTTTCAGTGTATCTTACATTTGTTCACTACACAATTTTCAACAACAGAATGACAGGCAATGTCATATAAAAAAAAAAAAAAAATTTCTTTAGTGCCAGTACTTTTCCGCCACCCAGTATAAAACAAATAGAATGAAAATTGTGTCATGTATATGTAACATTAATACTGACTGGACCCACTTCTTCTTCGCCTTTTGAAAATAATATTTAGAAACTGTTTAAACCGCTTAAGCGTTCTTTAATACTCGGGTAAGCGCGTGTCGTTTGATTTCGATACAATCTCATTGTTTATAGAACGCTAACAAGACGCACCATGTCGAGGCCGTCCCTAGATACAAAACCTAGATAATAGATATTGTAAGAAATAACAATCTCGTCACGTCGGTGTATATTCCGCGCCAGTATACAAAATAATGGAAATATATGATGACAGATGCACTTGGACATAACATAGGTTATAAATGTATCAAATTAAATAATCTGATTTCTTTATGATATAGTTTTGCATCTGTAAACAATTTTTGAGCTACGACGATTGTAATTACAAAGTGTGTCAGGGGCGTTCCATCTCTTATGTGATTACGAATATGATAAAGCTTTTATATCGTTTTAATACGATTTAATATGACCGTAATGTCTTTATAAAACTTATTTATATACTTATAAAGCCAATGCGTATTATTCTAACTGGAAAACAATAGAAAGACAATGTCAACCCACATTTACAATGTTGCAACTACGACAAATACAATTGTTAGAAAGTTAACATAAAACACAATAGCGTATTTATTTCGTGACACCTAACTTGTTACTTGCATACCTAATATTAAACGTAAATTATATAACATCTAGGTATTTGACACGCGTCTATTCCCCGAGGGGAAGACACAGTTTTTCACTGTCGTTGGTTAGTTCTTTTTGTACATAAATACTAATCAATTCCTTTTATTCCATGCATCGTGTATCAATATAGGACCAGGTACGTATAATTAATTTATGCAATTGAATCGAAGTTTCATACACGTTTTTTAAAGGTTAATGAGCTAGCTAGAAAGTACTCATTAAAAGTGCGCTCTTCTCATTTAGGAAGACGTAATTTTGACTTGTTTTTGCACATGCTACCGTCGCTTTACTAGTCAATAGTTTTAGCAATATCGGTTTTAGTGAATTGTGATTATAACGATGTCGAGTAGTTAGCGTTCCGCGCTGTTAAAGTGTCAGGCGCTGAGTGAGTGTGATGTTTCAGCGCGGCTACCTCGAAGGTCTGCGCTCATCACTCGGTGGCTGGACGCAGAAAGTTAAGTCATGGTACTGGGGACGACCTCTAGTAAGTGGCCCGGCCTTCCACCGACGAAATCAGCGAACTGTCTTTGCACATTGACAATTACTTTTGCACGATAAAAACCTTTTTCAAAATTCTCGCTTCGAAATCGGAAATTGCTTGATGTTAGAAATATTTTTTTTCACTTCCGTTATTGTTGCACATTTTGACGTTACGTTTTCTTATGAGTAGTGTTGCACTTTTGTTTTCACTGCGGTTATCATTTGTAAATTGTCGTTATTGTTAGTCAGTAGACGTGAATGATTTAATGCATGACGATAGAGGTAATTCTGTAGCCATCGAATCTTTCTACCGGTATTCTTGTGACCTTCGCGATGATTTCGTTAACGACTGCATGGGCCGAAATGAGTTCGTTATTTGGTTAATTATTTTCGACATGCTCTCTATTTATGTTGAATTTATTTATGTTGCAACTTTCATTTCCTAAATCGGCTCTAAATGTTAATTGGTTATAACGATCCCTCATGAAACAATCCGACACTGTAAATTGTAAAATACGTTTAGTACCACGCCACCGAGTGATAGAAAAGCATGATTAATGCCTCCAGTTCACATCTCACTTTCAGCTTCTCAAACTTCAGGATCATTTACATTGCAATTGAAGCACAAATAATGTTCTCCGTTTCTGCCAACCCCTACACAGTCCCATTAGAGCACATGTTGTATTTAGAGGCTGATAAAGTCTTGCTGATAGTGTAGAAAAAGTTTTAGTGTGAATGTTGTAAATTGCTTAGGTTTTAATACTCATGAAATTGTCAAATACGTTAAGTTCAAATACTTAAAACTTATTTTGGTTTATTTAGTTCTGATTTTTGCAGGAACTAGCACACAAAATGTCGAGAAGTTTCGATATGAAGGAAGAGGGTGGGGCTCTGTTAGATGATCGGGGAATAAGGAGACACCAATCTATGCAAAGACTACAACACGGGGAAGGTCAAGATGAGAATCGTACTGCGAAAGTTGTGCCGGACCATCATGGGAATCTACATATAACCGTAAAGAAGACCAAGCCCATACTAGGCATTGCGATTGAAGGCGGCGCGAACACGAAACACCCCCTGCCAAGAATAATTAATATTCACGTAAGATTTCATATTTAATTAGTTTATATTATAATAAGTTATTAGTTTGAAGAAAACACACATCTGCCGAATAAGTGCGCGTTTTCTTAGAAATAATTTTTATTTTATTAATGTTGCTTACACAAAAAATTCCTATTAGAAATAGAAAAATGTCAAGAATCTTGACCACCAAGAATCTTGGCAACGACCACCAACATATTTTTTTTTCTCGATACCAAAAAGAAAAACAAGAAAAAACCAGTGGCGCTACAACCTTTAGATCGGGGCCTCAGATTTCTGTATATGTTTTGTAAGGCCTTGTTTTTCTAATAGGCAAGCAGGTGATCAGCGTCCTGCGTTACCTCACGATGTATTCCGTACGAGCTAGTTAGTTAGACACTGTGTCATACACAGAAAGTAAATTCTTCACAGCCGGGGTTCGAATCTTCGATCTTAAGGATAAGAGTCGCACGCTGAAGCCACTGAAAACACTGCTCTTTCTATTCTCAAAATACATTTAATTTTCCAGGAGCATGGTTCAGCGTTTGAGGCTGGGGGGCTGGAAGTGGGTCAACTTATACTGGCGGTGGATGGTAAGCGTGTTGAGGGCATGCAGCATCAAGAAGTGGCGCGGCTTATTGCTGAGTCGTTTGCTCAGAGAGATAAACCGGTATGTATAAATGTAATATAGAGAAAGATTAGGTTTAGTGTGATAAGAGGCGTTGTTTTGTAATTAATTTAACTACGATTAATGTTCATATATGTAGATATTTTTCATGCTTTTCTAACTCATAAAAAATAAGTAGTTACCCTCCATTTTAACACACTACTTAGTTTGCCTAAGCCTAAGTCATATTAAAACAAACAATGGATTGTTTATCCTATTTAATTAAAAAGTCAGACTTTTATATTTTTTTAATACATATTAATTATTAACTATATTCTTAAATTTTTCGCGCCTGACATTAAAAAGAGTCAAATTCGTTCAAAATGTGTTAATATTTTCTTTGTAGGAGCAAACATATATGAATGGCTATTTCACGAAATATTTGATAATATTTTCAGGAAATCGAATTCCTAGTAGTCGAAGCAAAGAAATCCAACTTAGAGCCGAAGCCAACAGCTCTAATATTTTTGGAGGCCTAACATCTACTGTCCCTCCCCGCCAGCGACCCGCCGTCCGCGCTGGGCAACGCGACGTCACGGGTCGACCTCACCGCACCCACCACGGAATAGCCAACTCCAACCTGCGCTGTCACATGCTCTTCTAAACGATTTCGATATACGCCTGCGTTAACAGTCTCGTCGTTTTTAGTTTTTGTATGATATTCCGAAGAATTTACCAGCGCTAGGAGATCTAAAAATATCTCTAGGAAGATGTAGCAACTAAAGATGACAGCTATGAGACTATAGTTTTGATAAAAACAAAAGCCGATCGGGACTGACGTCAGCAACAGAAAAGCATTTCTTAGCTTAATTGCTTACGCAAATACGACAGGCGCAGATCGGTAAAACGTTTGCTCTTTATTGAAATGGTGTACGTTTAACGTTGCAACGGACTGTAATGAGAATACAATTACGCAGGATTCCGAAGGCTAAAGTAATGGCACAAGGGAGGCGAAAATAAATCCTAAACCTAAATTACGAACGTTTTAAAATTACTCAAAAAGCACATTGCCCAACTTTGAAATGTCCATAACATCTGGACAGCACGGGTAGAGAAATTTTGGAAATCCTTTTCTATACTGTAACCATTTTGCCAGTATGGTGACTGAATTTTATAATCTAATTTTTCTAATCTACATTTTAAAATTATCACTATCACAAAAGGTTATGCGCAAGGTAGAGTTTGAATCATCTAAATAGAAGTAGGGTTATGAAGAGATAGTTTCGCTAATAGTTTGGCATTGGTGCTATGAGTAATAGATCATCTTTTTAAAATTTCGCTTTAATCATGCAGTTTTAGAGCTTTGTTTCGCGAGCATTTCACGAAATTATCATTAGATAGACGTCATCCATGTGCCATCATTGCATTCATAGATAATACGCGGGTCATCTCATACCAGATCGTTGTGTCGATGGTAGGTTTTAGATACAGTTTAGTTTGAGTTTACTGTGAATGAAGAATGAAGAATTACATTAGACTAAAGAACTTTTGATTGACTTTAAATACAAACCTCAACTTATTGATCATCAAATGAAGCTAATTATTAGGAAGGGTTTTGTACTCTTTAGTAATTTTGAAGTAAAGCTTCGTTCTAAAGTTCAAAAGTCCTCGAATTTTACTCTGATTCACAATAAACTCGCACTAGGTCCTTAGCATCATCACGTCGCCAGTAGAGTTGAGCTTGCAGCAAAGCGCAAACTAAGCAAGTATTAACAACGACATTGGAAGTTCTCAGAATGCGACTGACACTATATCCTTAAGCCTTAGGAAATGTTGATTTATATTTATGTCCAGTTTGCTTAGAAGAAAAAGCGCCAATATTCCATATTGAAGCGGTGAGATAAGGAGGTTATGGCGGAGAGGGATTAGCCCACTCATTGTTTAATGTAAACATAGTATAATTGGTGTTTGCAATATAATCGATTTTGTGTTAGATGTTAGAGACCCCGCGTCACTTTGATGTCAAACTTGTAACCGATAGATTCAAAACGTGATTAGTTGCTTTGCCAAATTGCAACTTTCTAAAGTCACGTGACACACAATTTTTATCGCGTGAATTTTGTGATTTCAGGTAAAATTGTATGTTATGAGTTCATGATCTGTAGGCCATAGAAACTTATAATTGTTTATTTTTGCTCTAAGCGGCAACACAATCAGTTTAGAAAATCGTATTATTCGTTCTATGTCTCGTTTCTTATGTATATTATGGTTTTACTTCAAGACCTCTGACTGTACTAATTTATTCAAATATCAAGTATCCAACAAGCAAACTTATAATAATAAGACTTACTATTGAACTAAGTGGATCCTAAGGAAATAATTATTAGGATTCACTTTGATTTAGATTCGTCATTTCAAGAGTTTTGATTTTGGTTTATGATTTCCACTGACACAATTGTTTGGACCACAAGCATAAAAGGCCGATCATCTGACTTAAAAATAATTAATTAAACCCATGCCTTATTGAGCTTAACGGGACTTCTATAAGATGACTTTGTCACCTTCCAGCGTAAATCTATGGCCTACAGCTTAAAGTTGACGTCACAAGCTGCAGAAAATATATAACCAATCATTGTCGTTGTCGCTGAAGCTTAATCGATGTACAAAATCTGTAGATATTTCACTAGTATTACGCAAATGGTATTAAGTGTTATATTCAATAATTTAAATCTTTATCGGAACATTTAAAATGTATATAATCATTGGCGTATCATTTTTCAGTAGGGCCTGGACCTTTTTATTAGGTGTCTTAGATTGGTATCACTGTGATGGACCACGCGGCCACTCTATATACGCCTATGTATATAACTCGGTAATGTAAATATGTGTAATATAACTATTCAGATTAGTGCCAAAAGCCTAACCCTTCATATATGTACAAATCAAATGCAGTTTATCTACCGATTAGGTCGCTAATTCACGAGATACGCTTTTTAATATAGGATTTGATAATTAGGTTTAATTATATACGGCATATGTTTTATTTTAATGGTTTGTATATATGTAATATGAAGTATATTCTCGTGGACGGTTTCTTCTACTTCTTAGCTATAACTTTAAGATCCTTTGTAGATGGTAATAAATTCATATTTAACATTCTAATTTTATGATCTGAATGAATGTATCTAAACGTCATATTGTCTTTGGTTTAGGCGTATACAGTATAAAATTTAACGGGTTTAAAGTTCATAACATTTCTTACTTAAATTGATGTTTCGAACGCCGTAGAGCCGTCGTGATTAACAAGTTAAAGTAATGTATTAAAATCGAGTTAAACCCGTTAGTTTTATTTAAATAAACATGTTTGCTTAAAGTATAACTAACTATATAAAATAAATTTATTTTTACAGAGAATTTCATTATCTGTTATAATAATGTAATGTAGATTAATTTATCACTTGCGACTATGTCAATTCATTTAACAAAGCAATGTTTAATTAGTACCTATTTAATAGGTTAATTATTAGCGAAATGATATACGTACTATTAAAATTATGTTAAAATTATTCCCAAAAAAGTGCAGTTTAAGGTTCAATAGACACGGGCAGTGAAAGGCAAACATCGTTATTTATTATTAATTTAAAAAATCTGTAGTTCGAGGTTAAATTACTGATTACCTATGTTCTAATTTTTTAACGAAGCATCACTTTTGGTGGATTATAATTGTTAGTCCTGATAGATTTAATAACGCAGACATTAAACAATTTTATTTTTAAATTTGAGTTTATGACTTGCGCTACATACAATGGGTATGAATGCTTACTTTTTCTTTAAAGGCAAAACTTACGAAACTATAGTCAAAAATGGTGTAATATTGTCTTGCATCATCTATATACCATACATAAAACCCTACGTGTATATTCGGTGCAATTATAACGCGTTTCACGGCCCGTGTCTAGGAAGCGTATACCACGATACTACCCCTCTGAGTCGAGACTCAACGCTAAGTTACTTCCTTATGTCAAAGACGACTGACACCGTCACTTGCACAAGATATTATTATAACGCTGCCTTAACCGTTGTGCTAGGTATATTGATACGACAAATAATTTTTTAATAGAAAATTATTTAATCTAATTATCGTACCTTAAATGCAAATACTATCCAATGATTTTTCTATTAAATATTTTCCATTGCTATAGCCCAGCAAATTCCTATCTATTCTATACCGTCCATTTATTTTTCCTTAGTTTGTTATTTATTGCAAATATTGTAAGGACCTTGATGTGTTATTAGGTCAATAAAACCTTCATGCTGGCATTACGTTGAGAAGATCTATATTGTAGTTTGTTGTTAAGTTTGCCGTTGATAACAAAATATATTGTTACCTAGATAGAAATTTGTTTTATTTTTTCCTAGTAAATAACGTTTATTAGTAATCATAACAATAAAATATACATTATTTACAATAAAAATAATTACAAATTAGTAAAAAGAAAATTGGGGACCAGGGACCAAACTTTTTTAACAAATTTAAAAAGTTTGGTCCCTGTGGCAGTGTACCTTATTCGTTGAGCCATGAAAGCACCAGCTCCGGAGTCACCGGTACTATCTACCAGGCGTCAACTTAAATTCTTTTTTCCTTAGGTAATCTTGAAGAATTTATCTTGAACCTATAATTACTACTACCTATAATATACAAATATTATAGAGGTAAAATTTTGAGGTTGTAGGGGGTAATCTCTGGAACTACTGAACCATTAGAAAGGCACGTTATTTGTAACTGTAATAGGCTATATGAACCTGAAAATGAAAAGCCTGTTTGGTGGTAATCGGATTTGCAGTCTAAAAAAAAACGGTAGAATGAAAAAAAAATTTACACTGGCTTAACAATGAGAAATATATGATTGACTGGTAAAGAAAATTGTTGAGCCTGATAATGCATACAGAAAAGTTTGTGACGGCATATCTCTAATAAAACATATTAATATAAAACATGTTCTCCGCCGCGTATATCTGTGTTCTTGATAAACTCAAATATTGCAAAAATAAAGCTCGGAATTTAATGCTGTTTTCAACAATATATAGAGTAATTCATGAGAAAGGTTTGTAATTTTTAAATTTTACGGATTGCCCGTCCGATGGTGGTTGATATTGCCCTTGTGCACACACTTTTCGGTGAGGAGAACATCGTGAGGCCACGAAAAGTATTAGAGTAAAAAATCGACGATATATGTCAGGCACAAGGGGCTGATCAACGTCTTATCTATAAAATATAACTAATTAAAAAATTTATGCAGCATTTCGAGGCCAAGAGCGCAGCACCGCTCGGTTGTTTTTTGTTAGATATACCATTACGTAAGTTGTATTAGTGTATGTATGTACAATATATAAGGATTTCAAAACTTTAGTTTTTAATTCGGGGTTATCTGGTAAACTGCTAGCAGTAAGATCGCTCATTTATATTCTGTGTCTTCTTTTTTTTTCTATTTTATTTGTGATGTAAATAATATTCAGGCTTTTAATGAATAATAATGAT